TAATGCAAGAAACGCAGTTTGTGCAGTTTGTTAGCATTCTTCCCTCTGCGGGATTCAACGGGCTTCGCGGTCCCCGCGGTGTGCCCACGAGGGCCCAACCTCAGCCTCAAGAGGGCCCCGAGACTCCAGAAGAGGGGCCAAGCAGGGCCCCAAGAGAGCCCCAAGAGGGCCCAAGAGCGGCCCGAGACCGCGGGCCGATCGGCGCCAGGCCACAAGACGGCCCACAGATTGCCCCAAGACACACCAGGATGGTTCCAAAGTGGCCCTATGATCCGAAACATGCCAGTGGACTGCATACATGGCATTTGATGGCCGAGCCAGAGGCCCCCAAGAGGCGCCAAGAAGCCCCTGAGAGGCGCCCACAGGGGCCTGCAGACGACCCACACAAGCCTCCAAGAGTCCCTCAAGACGCTCCCGACAGCCTCTCAATGGGCTCCGATGGCGGAGGCTTGGGCAGGGACGCGTTCCATCGAGGTCTGCCCCTCGTCTACCCAGCGGTTGCTTCCCCTGACGTGGGCCTCACGCGACAGCTCGGCGAGCACACGGGCAAATGATGACTATGATGCATAATTGGCCGGAGGAAGGCGCGAAGCGATTGAACAAATCCTCTGGTCTGTTCCCGCGAGAAAGGCTTGCGAGTGGCTGCGCCGAAGACCTTGAACCAATACTGCATGCCAGAGGTGGCCAGACTCTCCAGAAACGCCCCAAAACCTCCGAAACGGTGGCGTCGTCGGGCATGTGCCGAGTGCCGCGGCTTCCAGTCTGCAGCGGGTCTCCGCCCACGCGGCTCTGTTCGACGGGCTGGCTGCGCTGATTACGCGCTCGGCTCGCCGAGCGGGAGGCGCAGCAAGCTTGTCGTTTCGGCCGTCCGCGGCCAAAGAAAAGGAAGACCTCCTCGTCGACGGCGACGACCAAGACGACCACGACGGCGAGAGGGCCGCGGCAGGCCTGGGAGAGGCCGTCGCTGGCGCTCTGCGCAACGGGCTCGGCCGCGCGGAGCTGGCCGCTGGCCGCCAGCACCCTGGCTTCGGGGCTCTGCGCGCGGCGGAAGTGGATTTTCCCGCACGGAGATTGCGGAAGCGTCCGTAGTGAGTCGATCCGCCCGTCAGAGGGGCGCGTTCGCAAGCGCTTGGTGTGGTTGTGTGTGTATGTGTGTGTGTGTGTGTGTGCGTGTGCGTCTGTGTGTGTGTGCGTGTGTGTGTGCGTGGTGCGTGCGTGCGTGCGTGCGTGCGTGCGTGCGCGTGTGCGCGTGTCTGTGTGTACGCGTGTGTGTGTGTGTGTGTGTGTGTGTGCGTCTGCGTCTGCGTCTGCGTCTACGTCTGCGTCTGCGTCTGCGTCTGCGTCTGCGTCTGCGTCTGCGTCTGCGTCTGCGTGTGTGTGCGTGTGTGTGCTTGGACGCCATGTCTCTGCGCGCGAAGCCTCGACGCCAAAAAAGAGTCTGGGCGTGGTATGTGTGTGTGTGCGTGTGCGTGTGCGTGTGCGTGTGCGTGCGCGCGTGTGCGTGTGTGTTGTGTGTATGGGTGTGCGCGCGTGTGTCTGTGTGTGTACGTGTATGTGTGTGTGGTGTATGTGTGTGTGCCTGTGTGTGCTTGTGCGTGTGCGTGTGCGTGTGTGTGTGTGCGTGTATGTGTGTATATGTGTGTTTGTGTCTGTCTCTGTGTGTGTGTTTGGACGCCCAGTCTCTGCGCGCGAGGCCGCGACGCCAAAACAGAGTGTGCGCGCGTGTGTGTGTGTGTGTGTGGTATGTGTGCGTGCGTGCGTGCGTGCGTGCGTGTGTATGTGTGCGTGTGTGTGCGTGCGCGCGCGCGTGTGTGTGTGTGTGTGTGTGTGTTCTGTGCGCGCGCGTGTGTGTGCGGTGGGTTGTGTGTAGTGTGCGGCCTGCTGTTGGTCGAGTGCGTATGCGTGTGCGTGTGTGTGTGTATACGTGTTTGTGTGTGGTATTTTCTGTGTGTGTTTTCTTGTGTGTCTGTGGGTGAGTGTGTGTTTGGGACGATAGATCTGCGCGCGATGGCTGCCGTCGCTATGTGTAGAATTGTGTGTATGTATGTGTGTATGCGGGCGTGCGTTGCGTGCGTGCGAGCGTGCGTGCGTGCCAGCGCGCGCGTGTGTACCGTGTCCGTGCACCGCGTCCCGCTGTTCATTAATATTATATTGTGTGTGTGTTCTTCATGTCTGTGTGTGCGTGATTGTGTGTATTGTGGTTTTTTTTGTGTGTTGTGTGTCTGTGCGTATTTGCGTGTGGGTGCGTGCGTGGCTTTCTATTTTTACTTTTGCGTGCGTGCGTGCGTGCGTGTGTGTGTGTGTGCCTGTGTGTGCGTGTGCGTGTGCGTGTGCATGTGTGTGTGTTTGTGTGTGTGTGTGCAAGTGTAAGTGTGTGTGGGGGGGCTGGGGCCCGCGCACTCCTCTTTGAAGAAGACTCCTTTCGAGACAGCCCCGTCCCATCCAGTACGTACCCGGACCGCAGCTTTACCTAGGTCACCAATCTTCGCGCATCGCGCCCCGCGAAGCGCGACGCGAGGTCATCTTCGCGACCTCCCGCCCTCCCGCCACTCCTCTGAAGCAGGGCAGCTGCTCTGGCCCAGGCTGCGGCGCGCGAGGCGTCATTCCCTTCGCGCCCCGGCGGGCGACCTGCACCCCTGCTCAGAGTTAAGAAAATTCGAGGCTAAGAAATCGGCTGCACTCAAAGCGCTTTCTCAAACAGTAGCCCAGGTCCAGATATACAAGAACACTCTGCGCAAAAAGAAGCTCCAAGAGGACGCCCAGGGTCGAGCCCAGATTCTCGATTTTCTTGAGCGGCATCTGGAGTCCACAAAAAAACTCGACGCTTTTTCTTAAGAATTCTGATCGGTGTAGCCTACGGCCGGACCTAGGACAGAAGAACATCCTTCAAGAACGTGATACCCTCCGCCGGCCAAAACACCCCAAACCATAGAATCACCGATGGTACCCTCCCCCAGGATGTCCAAGGACATCCAACAAGCACGAAGAACATGAGGGACCCTCCCCGAACCGACCGTACGCCCTGAGAGCTGGAGGCGTGTCGGTCCGCTTCTCGGGGCTCTGCGCGGCGGAAGGGGGGCCAGGCACAGGTAGGGTTCCAGAAGGGCCCCAAGAGGGCCACCCTGCCAAGTCGACTTGCGGGTTGCCCCGCTTCGGTTCTCGGCAGGGTGCTGGGGCCTCAGTGTTTGCGGGCACGCGCCCGCCAGATTTGGTCCAGGGTCGTTTCCACTGAAGGGTGCTTTGCTAGAAGGGGATCTGTCCAAACCCGAGGCTAAGTGCAGTGAGAGTTTCAAGATGGCCCCAAGAGGGCTCCACAAGAGCATACGACAGCACAAAGACGGCCCGATGGCACCCCGTGAGAGCCCCTCGCGGAATCCGCCGACCCTGCCGGCGTGTAGAAGACGCTCTTCCGTTGGTCGCCGTCGTCGTCGTCATCGTCGTCGTCGTCCTCGTCGTCGTCGCCGCCGCCGTCGTCGTCGTCGTCGTCGTCGTCGTCGTCGTCGTCGTCGTCGTCGTCGTCGACGTCGAAGTGGTCGTCGTCGTCATCGCCGTCGTCGTCATCGTCGTCGTCGTCGTCGCCGTCGTCGACGATCGTCGTCGTCGTCGTCGACGATCGTCGTCCTCGTCGTCGTCGTCGTCATCGTCGTCGTCGTCGTCGACGATCGTCGTCGTCGTCGTCGTCGTCGACGATCGTCGTCGTCGTGTCGTCTCCGTCGTCTCCTCGTCGTCTCCGTCAATTGTCGTCTCCGTCGTCCCCCGTCTTCTTTCCCCAGGCGCGCCAGCCAAGGCGACATTGAGCAACGCGGTAGCTGTATCGATGGGAAGCCCCTTCCCTTTGACCCATTCCCTGGCGGGGTGTGGGTGTCCCGGGGGGTGGGTCCCAGGGGGTGGGTCCCCACCCAGATAAGCATCCCCTCAGGGCGGTTCTGAGGCCCAGAAAAACCTCAAGTCGCGGCAAGAGTGCCCCAAGAAGCCCCCAAAACGGTCCTTGAGGGCCAAGAATTGGCGAACTGTCGGTCCAAGACGCCAAAGTAGCCTCCAGACGGCTCAAAATGTTTCCAAAATACCCTTAGAGGCTTCCAAAAGCATTCCCAAGAGAGCCCCAAAAGGGCACAATTCGTAGATGTTCCTGATGTGTTTGAAAGATTTTGGCGTTCTCGCCTTGTCGGCTTCCCTACGCTCCAAGACAGCCTGAGAGGCCGCCAGGATCACCCAAGAGGCCTCCAAGAGGGCCCCAAAACGACCCAAGTTGGCCCCAATAGGCCTCCAAGGCAGCCCAAGAAGCCCCCAAGACGGCTCCAAGAGGGAGCCCAGACGGGGGACCCGAACGGACATTTCGAGCCCTCGGCCTCACAGGCTCCCAGGAAGCCCCCAGAGGCCCCGAAGAAGCCCCCCAAGAGGCCCCAAGAGGCTCCCAAGATCCCCAGGGAGCCCCAAGAGGTCCCCACGAGGCTCCCAAGAGGCCACCAAAGAGCCTCCCAAGAGGCCCCAAAACTACCCCCCAGAGGCCCCCGAGTCGTCGTTGTGGTCGTCGTCGTCGTCGTCGTCGTCGTCGTCGTCGTCGTCGTCGTCGTTCAGGGTCGGCGGCACCGGCCATAAGGCCACTCCAATAAGAGACGAGAGGTATCACATGATGCAGCCTTCTGGGCGTTGCTCGAAGCTACGCGACGCTCAGTGCTGCGCTGGCACAGTGCTGGGACTTGACGCAGGCAGAGTTCTGCCACAAGGATCGGCGGCGAACAAGGGGGGGAAATAAGAAGAAACGGGCCAGCCTTCTTAGAAGGCTCGGAAGTCCCCCAGCCTTCCGAGAAGTCCCTAAGCCTTCCCCGAAGTCACAGAAAACTTCTCGGAAGGCGCGAGGGCTTCCGAGAAGTCCCGCCGCCTTCTGAGAAGGCTTCTCCTTCTCACTTCCCACTCCTCGCTCGCCGCCGAGGAGGAAGGAGGAAGGAGGAAGGAGGAGGGAGAGGAAGGAGGAGGAGGAGGAGGAAGGAGGAAGGAGGAAGGAGAAAGAAGAGGAGGAGGAGGAGGAGGGAGGAGGAGGAGGAGGGTGGAGGGAGGGGGGGGAGGAAGGAGGGGAGGAAGGAGGTAGGAGGAGGAGGTGACCCCCCCCCACGGACGACCTTGACCCTTGGGGGGGGGGGCCCTCGCTCGCCGCCGCTTTCAACAATCCTGGACTCCTCTAAACCTTCTCTAATCCTCTCCCTCTCCTCCTCCTCCTCCAGCTGCTTCTCGCACGCAATCTCCTCCGCTCCTCTCCTTGCCCTCCTCCTCCTACTTCTCCTCCTCCTCCTCCTCCTCTTCCTCCTCCTCCTCCTGAAGGGAGAATCACTACGACGCGAAGGGCACCAGCATGAACGGTCACTTCTTACTACCTGCTCAGCTGGGAGCCTGGGAGCTACGATTTCGCATCGTGTCAGCCTCCGACTACGAAGCCATTTTGGCTTGCCTCGACGACGGGTACTACTGGGGGAGCTCCGTTTGAGACCTCAGTCTTCGTCATTGTCGAGGAGTTTCCCAGGGGCCGCTTGGGTGTGTCTCCTGGCAGCTGCTCTGGCAGCCCTGGTGGAGGGCTTCGTGGTGCTACTACTGGGGGTGGCTCATTTGAGACCCCAGTCAGGGACACCTTCGAGGTGGAGTATTCCTGGGGGAGGCTCCCGTTGGAAACCCCAGGGCTGCAGCGGCCGACTGAGGCCGCCCTCCCTCTCCTTTTTCCTTCGCCTCCCCTTAGTCGCGCGCCAGGCCTCGGTGTGGAGCGTGGCGACGGGCGGCCCGAGGAGTACTAATACTCTTCCTCCTCCTCCTCCCCCTCACTCCTCCTCCTCCTCCTTCTCCTCCTCCTCCTCCTCCTTCTCTCCTCCTATCTTCCTCCTTCCTCTTCCTCTTCCTCCTTCCTCCTTCCCATTCCTCTTCCTCCTTCTCCTTCTCTTCCTGCTTCCTCTCCTCCTCCTCCTCCTCCTCCTCCTCCTCCTCCTCCTCCTCCTCCTCCTCCTCCTCCTCCTCTTCCTCCTCTTAACTAACCTC